GCCGGGTATCGTATTTTGGCCGGTGTCGGAGTCGGCGAAGGTGAATAATGGCTGTTTTTTTTATTGTGGCCGGGTGGAATGTGGTAACAAGCAAGTACGGGGGGCGGTTGTGTCATCCGTCTCACTTTTGATTTGCCAGTGACAGACCGCGAGGGTAACTTTAACTGTGCAAAGACGAAGAGGAGGCGAAAATTTGATGTCAAGTTCAAAGAGAACGTGCTGATTATGCTGCAGAACACTCTGGGGAGCAGTAGCAGGGGTTGTATGAACTAGTCACTAGTCGACTTCACCGCTCTATAGTGACTTTTTATGCCTGCCATCGACTAGTCACTGTCACATGATAATGACCGGCAAGATGCAGTCCTCGGAAAAGACAGCAGCCTGCTGTCAGCAGGTGACAAGCTCCTGCGCGGCGGGAGGCAACGCGCTGTGCCAGAGCGTCGGCACTGACACCCGCCGTAAAACGGACATTTAACCAAATTGTGAAATTTACCCTCTTGCAATTTAACATTCCCCTCACCCCATCCTAACCTTAAACAGCTTGCGCATGCAAAGCTCTGATCGTTGACGCGCTCCAGACATCTGCGTCCTGAGCACGGCCACAGTAACAAGATCCAATTAGGTGTCGCCACTTCAGAAACTAATTTAACACGCAATCGTTCATTTCGGCTCATTTCCTTTTATGTGTTTTGTTATTTTATTCTTTTATTTGTGCCTGATGCATTTCTCTGCTGTGGATAGGGGCGCATCACCTGTTTTGTTCTTGGTGACGCACCTAACTGATGAGGCCGGCGAGCACTCCGCTGTTTTTGCGGTCGGTAGATCTTTTAGAACTGCAGTTCAAAGGTAACTCATAAGGTGAATATATAAGAACCCAGGTAGCAGTTTTTCTTCAGGATTGAGAGGCGATGCAGGAAGATAATAAACAGGCAGGAAAGAAAAATAGTCAAATAAAAACAAGTTAGTTTTTGTACCTGGTGGTTGCAACAAACAGACACCACTGAAGATAATCAGAAGTGAGGAACAGAAACTGAAATAATGATTTCAATGTTTGGAGCAGCAGGAACTCCGAGAGGCTGCAGGCACATCAGTGAGTTTGCGGCCGCTGCGCAGGGGGAGGGGGGAGAGGGCTGAAGCAGAAACTACCGTTGTTAAAAGAAATGTGTTTAACTTTGAAAATGTGGGCGCAATTTTAATTGTCAAAAACTCCAGCGCACCATTAGTTCATTTTGCTCAAATAGAAATTGAGGCCTGCCTCTAATTCTGGTCCTCCTTCCAATAAAGGCCTGGAGCTTGATGAGCTTGAGTCAAATACAGACCCGGGCCTGTCTTAGAGGATTTATGGTATTTTATATAAGATGTCGCAAGAGTTGTAATCTTTATAAGTGATTGATCTCATGTTCTAAAGGGAGACTTTAAAATATGTTGATAATGTTCCTCTGACAAAAACCTCAACACATAATCCCAAACAGCCATGAGTAGGATGATTTACCAATTATTTGCACAGCAGGGATGCTGTTATCTACATATGTTCCATTGGGTCCAAATATTTGTGTGAGTGTGTGGTTGTTCCCTGTGGCTCTCAGGCCCTAGTTTAAATTGTAACACCTTTGATAAAATGGTCGCTCTCAATATTGCACAGCCAAGTACTCATTAATAATGCATGCCACATTCTGTCACAGTCTTATTTATGGAAGTGTGAGTCTACACAGGTAGCCAAACGCTTATTTTCACTCACTTGTAGCTAAGTAATCACTGGCCCATAGATGGTCAACGGCGATGGATTTCAAAGAAAGAGAGACCAAGTAGAAAAAGACAAAAAAAATAAATAAATAAAAAAGGCAAAGGGAGTATAAAATAAAAAAAAATAAAGAGAAGAAAGGAAATGAAGTGGAAGTGTCTCAAGTTCCCTAGACTATGTCCAATTATACTGGCATTGCAAGTCCTCCCAGACCTCATTTTAAAGGCGCTGGACACTAAAGAAATTCCCAGCTGTAACGATCATTCCCTTCTGCTATTGTGTAGATCAGCTTTAAACTTTGTGTTCAGCAAAAACAAAAAAATAACAATATTGATGACAAAAAACACAACTAAAATCTTCAAGGAAAATGTACTAATATCATCTTAGGGGATTTTGCTATTTTTTATTATTATTATTTTTGGACAGTCAGCAAATTTCAAACAAAAGAGCCACATGGGAAAACTATATTTACAGGAACTCAAACACTTAGTTTGCTTTTCTTTATGGTGTTTTGCTTCTACTATCATGTGCAACACACTTCCTTCACTGTACCATCCATCTATCCATCCTCAGATCCACCACATTCATGCACAGTTGTCCATTCTGCCTAACTTTTGTTGATCCATTTATCTTGTCATCCACATGGTGGATAATTCAATATCAGGGTGCCTTGAGGTTACTTGTAAGGGAGGATAAAGCAGAATGGTTGTAAATAAAGCAACGTGATCAATGTCTTGGGGCTAGATTTACTGCCATGCTGATACCTCCATTCATCAGCCTGCCCCATAAATGTTTTACACCTAAAAGCTCACGAAAAATAAATAAATAAATAAAATAAAAAATACACAGAAAACTGTGTTTTACAGCTATGATCTCTTCTATAACTTAAGCGTTAGAGGTGGTTTACATTTGGTTGCTCATTTTATGGCACCAGCACATGGAAAATATGATAAAAACACCAGAGACTTAGCTTAATATACACAAGGCAGAGTCTTGGCAGAGGATGTGTTTATGGATGTTCATAAATACTCCTGTTCCATTACTAATGAGACAACAATGACGAGGCCTTATGAAGACAAAGTAAGATGTGCTGCAAAGAAATGTCTAAAAACAGTTCAAACTCTTAATAAAGATGTGGATCACTGACCTACTTCTGAGTGCCAAAAGAGGGGGAAGGGTGGGAGAAAATAAGGAGCTCCCCACAGTCATGGCTTTTATTATAATATTCCTGAATGTAGACTAGAATTTGAGTCCCTTGTTTTAAGTTAATCAGTTAATACACTTGACCAGTTTAGCCCATGTGAAAAATAGTAACAGACTAAAGTGTTTAATTTGAGCATAACTTTACCAGAAACAAGACTTGGCTGTGTGTGCCAAGCCCCCATAATTTGATTCTGGACATGAAGCAAACAAGGAAGTGGCAAAAATTGCAGTTCCACCCTCATCCGCTAGGGGCTGGTGTCAGAAGTGTGCAAATCCTCATTGACTCCCATGTTAAAAATGCAGAAATAAACATGTTTACAGTCTGGTTACAAACACATATTTTAGGTTTAATAGCTCTCGTTTACCATCCATTGTGAATAAGCTGATACAAAAGGCCAGGGCTCCCGGTCACAGTGGTCTGGCTCTGCTTGTAATTTAACAGTCCCAGTCAATATTAGATCTTCACAGGTGACCAGCATGACTACAGTCTCGCACAGGAGCCACTTGGTCGTGCGAGCGGGCTACCCCGCTCCATGGAGCCCTTCTTAGCTTTTTGGGTAAGCTAAGTTAGCTGCATTGGTAACATTTGTTCCAACCCTGTTCTAAAGTAACAGCCCCACCCTCAGCTCCACCAATTTTTCCATTTTTGGATTTTCTGGGCATCACTCAGTCACTAAATCAGTGGTGGGAACCTCCCACGTTTGGCTTCAACTTGCCTCCGGCGGAGCAATGGGTGAGCTATGTCCATATTTTAATATGTTGATGGTGAGTGCATGTACGTAAATGTGTCAGTGTGCATGTATCACTGGACAACTCTTTTGTGTTTAGGTATTGTCAACAATTCTGTTGCCAGTAACTCAACACTCAAAAATTGTCAGCGCCGCCCTTGTCAATTATGCCATTGTGCCACATCACCCCTCCTTGATTTTATTTATTTTGTCTTCTGGAACAGAGGACATAAATCTCTTTTAGGCATCAGCAACCTTGTGGGGAGAAGGCGGAGCCTATCTTTGCTGGCAATCTGCACAAAGTTGGGTTACACCATTAACAGGGTCAGCAAAAAGATACAAACACACAACAAGAAATTCAAACACTTAAACGCTTAGCTTCTGCTAGTCGGGGCATGCTCTGCTCTCTCCTGGATGCTAAAATAACTGCCTTCCCGTTGAGTGCTAACATGTGAGCCCATGAACATTTAGTTACAGTGTCGATCTGTCACGCTTTTCTGAATTGAACGCTTTTCCATCTATTTTCTATCTGGACTTTCTTTCTGAACTTGGAGTGACTGATCTTTTTAAAACCATAAGTCAAAAATGGTTTCTCAGTGAACTTGCTCTTTAAAATGTGTGTAGTATGAATCCAGATGCATGCTGTACCTTGTTAAAACCAGTTCTATCAAAACATACGTTTATTTTCCATCAGCAGGTGTGCATTAGTGTAGTAGAGTTAAAGATATGAATTATGTGGATGTACTGGCTTCATCCCAACCCACTGTATTATACTTTGCTGTATCACCACCAAGATATTTCCTCCAAAGCACTTCCAGGATCCAGCTTCTAACTACTCCTGCTTAAAGACTGTTGCTACCATAGTACTAATTCTACTGGATAGAGGCAGAGAACCTTCAAATGTGTTGCGTTTATGGGAGGAGCATTTAAACCAGTGCAGTGAAAGCGCATGGTAAATTTGCAGCTCCCAGCTGTTTAATGTGTTAATATCAACAGTCATATTTGTTCAAGCCACACAGATGCCATACAGGATATGCTATTTTAAAACTAGCTTCACAAAAACCAGTATTGATTGTTTTGTTTTAACAACACATATCATCTTTGAACATAAGTTAGTTTATAGAAACGAAGTTAATGTAAAAAGATTTTACACAAGCTTTATTAATCACCATGCCACTACTTCTAATGTTCTGAACACCAAGTGTACACAAACCAATGGAAAACTCGTATCCATCATTGCTCTTGTTAATAGAGTGTGTCAACATCTACATAAAACAAGACAAACTTGCAAACTGACAGCTGGTTCTGCTGAATGCTGTGAGTCTTACCTCCAGGGCAGCAGACCTCTTCCGCAGCAGCTGTTCTATGTTCCTGGCCGCTCTGGCCACCAGCTTATCTGCATCATTTTGCTCCACAGTGTAGAGGTGCTGGTTTCTCAGGAAAATCTAGATAAACAGATAACATTGTAATGCATGGGAATCCTGTCATCATTGTAGTTTTACTTCGCTGTCCCTTTGTAGGGTAATTAACTTTTATTGATCACTTGTGTATGTGTTAAGGCTTCACTTGCAGTCTAAACCAGAAACCTACAAAAAGGTCAAAGTGTAAAAATAAACAGAAGGAAAACAAGTTGCAAAAATAGTTTGAAACCGATTGTGTTCATTACTTTTATGGACAGTATTTCCAGATGCAGCCAAGGTGGAGAGGGTATTCGTTTTGGTTGCCTGATGATTGTGTCTCTGCTTTTTGCAGATGGTCCTGTTGGCTTCATCAGAACATGATTTCTGGCTTTTGCTGGAGCGATTCGCAGCCGAGTGTGAAGCAGCTCCTCTAAATTTGAGACCATGGTCTTCAATCAGAAAAGAGTACTTTCTCCAGGTTAGGGACGACATCATGCCTCAAGTGGAGGAGTTTAAGTATCTTGTGAGGGAACGATGGAGCACAAGATCGACAGGCGCATTGGTGCTGCGTCTGCAGTGATGCAGGTGTCGTACTGGTCTGTTGTGGTGAAAAAAAGTTGAGCCGGGAGGCGGAGCTCTCAATGTGATTCATACCAGTTGATCTACATTCCCACCCTCACCTATGGTCATGAGCTTTGGGTAATGCAAAGCAACCAAAAAAATGAGATTGTGGATACAAGCGGTTGAAATTAGTTTTCTTAGAGATGGGGCTCGGTGATCTGGGAATGGATCGAAATAAATCTGCTGCTCCTCCACATTGAGAGAAGCCAGTTGGCTCAGGCATCTAGGATGCCTCCCTGGTGAGGTTCTCCGGTCACATCCAACCAGGAGGTGATCTAATGGATAAGTAGGGCATGCTTGAGGACTATGTTTCTTGGCTGGCCAGGGAACGCCTTGGGATTCTAACGGAAGAGCTGGCCCAAGTGGCTGGGGAGAGGGAAGTCTGGGCCTCTCTGCTTAGGCTGCTGCCACTGTGACCCGACCTTGGGTAAGTGGAAGAGGATGGATGGATGGATGGATGGATGGAAGTTTAAAAAAAAATTAAGATAAATTATTTTGAGATATTGTAAGTTTCTAGTATTGACAAAATATATTCATTTAAGAGTAGTTTCAAAAAGTTGTTCAGGGCATTTGTACCTGGGTGAGACTCCTTCCAGCTGTGGCCATGTCTGCCAGGGTGACGAGCTCTTTCTGCATCTGATCAACCCATTCTTTGATCCTGTGGGACAAAGCCATAAACACTATCAATCTTGTGACTGAAGTGATAGCAGTTTAGATGAGACATCTTGGGCTTTTCAAAGCACAATTAAACTGTCAATCACATCTTCTTGCATCCATCACAAACACAAACATGCAGTCACATAACATGAAAACAAATGTGCATTGTGCTTGACCTTTCTGACGTGAATGACTCGGAACAAACAAAGCCATTTTGGAAAGCATGTCACTTGGTCGCCAACCAGTATGATTTCTTTCAGAGTTCAAACACAAAGTCAACCCATCAGGTAAGTGTCAGCCATCATGTAGGGGGCAGTTATGTGAAGAGACAGGCAATACGTGGGAGGGTGCCAGGATCAGCATCTATCTTTATATCGAAGACCTGAGTCTTGGCTTCAGCCTCCTGATGTCATGGAGGTTCAAACTGAGGGACCCAATGAATCACTAAATATCAAGTCATGAGACATTATGACCACATGAGAAAATATTCTTTTTAAATACCTAATGACCTTTGCACTTACTCATCTGCAATCCTTCCAATTCATAAAGAAATGTTTATTCCCTGATGTATACACACTGGAGGATAAACACTTGAAGATGTATATTCAATATGGAAAACTATCTCCGCTGCAGTGCTAATGCACATATGTATTTGAGAAAGTATTTAAAAGAGTAACTGGCACACAAATCTGCTAACAGGGGGATAAAAGAGAAAGGGGTCTAAAAGACCAGCTAAAACAAGTAGAAGTACACAAGAGACACAAAATATACAGTGACTGAGGAAAGTTCAGAGTAAGTACACACAAGGAGAAAGATGAGACCGTTTGCGGGAGAGCTATTACCAGAGGGAGAAACACACTGGGAAACACTTAGAAGGAAAAAATAAGTCAGAATATGAATATTGGTGTTTGCTGTTCCAGTTTTTGACTTCTTGCATAGAAAGTTTAAATGCTGGGTTCATTTGGGACAAATAGAAAATTCTATTGTAAGAATATGATGGTATTTAAAATCCTTGGAATTATTGTGATGCATGCAATACTATACAGTATGTGTTGCACGTTACAAACCATTCCTCTTTGATGTGGACAGCCATAGTTGGGACATAAGCATTACATATGACAATAAAACCCTGCAGAAATCCACAACAGCTTTTCATTAGAGGGAAAATTTAAGCATCCAGGGAAAATTGAAGCATCCAGGAAGGGTCAGTTTTCATCTACAGTTTGACCTTTTCAGTGACCGGTCATCTACAGACATGAATCTGCCTCTCTGCATCTCTTAATCTTCCAAGCTGCAAGATTCGCCACTGCGTGTTTACACTCTGATTGTCATGTTCTGTGTCCCTTTGTTCCCCAGCCCCTCCGGTTCCCACTCCAGGTTCTCCTTTTGTGTTTCATAGCGCCCTCATGTGTCCTTTGTCTGCGTCTCATTTATGTGTCTCTTTGTGTTCCTCATTTGTCCCCTGGTCTTCAGCCTTCCAAATATATCTCTCAGGTCCTGTGTTCCTTTAGTCTTCTCCAGTCACCCCTCTGCAGCCAGTCAACCCTCTGCAGTGTTTATAGTTTCAGCTTTTCATTTTATTAGTCTCTTTTATATGTTTTGTCCCACCAGTCTTTGTAGTTCTCCTTCCCTTTAGAATATTAGTTATGTGGTTGCTTTTCTTGTTTTTAGGATTTTCTTAGGTCATGTGAGTTCCCTCCCTGATTAAGTATTGCTTTCACCTGGTCCTCTCCCCACACACCTGCAGCTCATCTGCCTCCCATCATGCCCCAATTTATTTAAGCCCCGTCTTGTCTGAGTGTCCTGTCGGTCCATTGTCGTTGTCAGTGTTGTTTTGTCTGTTGCGTGTGTTCTCCTGATCTTGCTCATGAAAGAGCTTCCGTTTTGCCTTTTTTGCCAGCATTTGCCTTTGGATTTATGCCCAGCCCCCTAAAATAAAAAGATTTTTACTTCATACCCACTTCTGCCTCGTGTCATCCTGGGTTACTGCATTTTGGGTCCAAACCATCCTCTCAACGTGAAACTGATTGCCAACATCAGGTTCCTTTCTCAAGGTTCCTCTCTGCCAAGCTGCGGCCTTATCTATCCGCTTGCTTCACAGGACAAAAGATGAACTTTTACAACTCATAAGTTAAATAATCATTAAATAATTCAATGAAGTTGAAATGAATTTTAACCCTTTGATGCATGAATTATGAAATCTTCGACCATGGTTTTTTAAACCTTTTTTTCATTCATCTTTAGGTGTGAATGAAACAAATTTCATATTTACATATTTTTGTAACATTTCATTTACACATAGTTTATTACACGTCTACCTCAGTGGACAGCGTGCATTCTGAACATGAAATATGTTGGCTTGACTTACTGAAGTCCAAATGGAGGGGCTCAAATGCAATTAAGTCTTCAACAGCTGTGCTTAATAGCAAAAATAAATAAATTACAATTTTGAGTACCTGTCCACTGTAGTGACCATTATGCATCAAAGGGTTAATTTTACAATGAAACATTTTGATGTTATGATCAGTAATGTTTGGTTTAACAAGTGAATCATTATCTACACTCATACATAATGTTCATAAGATAAAGTTAAACTACTTTCATGCACATAGAGATGTTCTTACCCACAAATCAGAGAGCCTTCTGTCATGGTCTGGGTTTTTTTCTCCTGCCATTTGCTATGTGGTTTTGAGTCTCCTTTTGCAGGAGGTGGGCGTGTCTGGAGGTTAGGGTTATGCCAGTACAATAAATCTGAGACATTATGTGGTAAAACAACTACCAGAAGTAGACAACAGCAGAGAAATATGATGTTTTCCAACTAAATATCACTTTGGTCATAGGTAATAACATCTATTGTCTGACTTACTGATTACTGAAGCACATTGATCCTACAGCATAGTTGTCATCCATAACTTCAGTGACATGCACTCAACAAAGTCAAACAAGAACTCTCAAATGCATTTTCTTTTCTCATGATAAAATATCAAACTATATTTCTTGTTCAAACGTAACAATGTTTCATGAAAGCTGTAAAATGAAGCTCACTTTTACCTTTAATAACATACACGGTAAGGTTGGCTTATGTGAGTGTTAGAAAACACTAATTCAGAAAAGTGATATAAAGTCATGAAGTTTGTATAGATGAGCTGAGATCGCAACTTTTTTTCCTGTTTTATTTTTATTTTTTTTGCTCTGGTTGCTGAGCTTTGATTACTGCAGCCTGTGGCACAATACTGGATAATTAAACACACATTCACACTCAGGCACACACATACACACACACATCGAAAAAAACAACTGGGTCAGACATTGCCCTACATTGCTTTACAGAGACAGGAAGAGCAAATGACTGTGAACACAATGTGAGGCAGAGACACAATGCAAGACAGAGAGGCAGATGTTGTGCTACAATCACTTGAAACTTGAGGGAGTAATGAGCAGGCCCACAGCACACACCTCAGTGGGCGTCTGTGTTAAACTACACTCTAATTACGCATCATTACAGAGATAAAGACAGAGGCTGTCCAGTTCACACAGTAAAATGGAATGAGGCATGAAAACACCAACTGGAATACACCAAAACAACATCCGGTGCTCTGCTATACACTAACGCCCAGGAGTACGGTGACCAGATGTCACGCTTTGTCCGGGACAGCCCCGAAATTTCATTACTTTTCCAACATCCAGCAAATTGGGACTCTCCCACATTATTGAACATCTCCTGCTACGAGTTTAAATCTTACAAAAACTGTGTGGAGAAAACTGTGGCTGTCAATCAAACTAGGAGGCGTGACTTTAACACAGGTCCCAAGCATCTACCTGAACTATTAAAATGATAGGAAATGTGAAGAAAATGCTGTAACAGTAAAGACTTGTGGTTAAAGCTAGTCAGGGTGACTCTGAAAAAGTCATTGTGATTTTCCTCAGAGTTGGTTTTCGTGTTACAGCCAGGACTCTGATATGAAACGGTGCCGAAAATCCGAGTCACAAAAATAGGTTTGTTTAAAAGCAGGTTTCCCAGAGAGGTTCACGCTAAAACCCAAAAGAGGTTTTAAGACAGACTAGGGTTATTTAGTTTTAGATACAAGCTAAATCCTTTTAAAGCACGTTAACGAAATGCTGAGAGAATTGAAGCTTTTAAGACCTATTCTCAGAATTTTGAGAAAAAAGTCAGAATGCTAAGATTAGATCAGTTTTTCGGAGATTTAAGTCAGTGATGTTTTTATTTCCTCTTCCCTAAATATTTACGATAAACTCTGAAAATTTGCTTAAAGCTGCATTTATTTATTGTAGTTTTTAAAAGGAGGGAACTGTTTTAAAATAATTTAAATGAATTTTAAAATTATTTTGGCAGAATATATTCAAAGCCATCATAGAAGTTGCAAAGAGCTTGAGTTAAGCTGTAGTAACTGGAGAAGAAATGGTATGAAACGTGAACTAGGCAGTTTGGGCTTGCTTTTACCACCCCCTAGTGTTTGTTGGTAGAACCGAAAGCAAAATCTATCACCTTGCAGTGAGTTCGTCTTTTTAACACCGTCATTCAATTCCATTGAATTTAAGTTTATTTATATAGAGCCAAATGTCAACAAGTCATCTCAAGGCACTTCACACAGTAAACATTCCAATACAGGTCAGTTCATTAAGCCAAGCAGTAAAAAGTTTCCTATGTAAGGAATCCAGCAAATTGCATCGAGCCACTAGCTAGAGTCAATTTCTTTACAGCAATCATCATACCAAGCAAGCATTTAGCGAAAACTCCCTTTTAACAGGAAGAAACCTCCAGAGGATCCTGGCATCCAGCCATCCGCCACGACTCACTGGGTATCGAGAAGACAGAGCAGACACACGCACACACCAACTCCAACCCACACACACGTTAGAAGCAGTGTTCAAGCTGATGGCCCCCTCCATGAGGGCACCACAGCTCAGCAGAACATCATTGTAGATTCTTCTGGGAAGAAAAACACTTAGAGAAAAAATAAAGTTAACAGCTCAAATAGC